AGTACCTACCGTGAGGCATGCTTCCTCTCAGGGCAATCTGGGGGGAGCTCCAGGAAGAGACGTTCAGACGGAAGAAGGGGCTGATGGTGTCTGGCCAGAATCTTGGTATTCTTTATGAAACGGAAGTGGGGAATGGTAAGAAAACCCAGGCTGGGATGAAGAGAAGAAAATCTGAGAAAACCTTTTATTGACACTGGTGCGGGGTTTGGCAGCTGCCCGGGAGCAAAAATAAACTCCTGATGGCAGGGAGACAAGACACTGATACTGGCACCTGCCAGGGGCAGACAGCCCAAGTCGCAGCTGCGCTGGTCGAATGAGCCTGGAGACCTCAGGGGGTGAGGACCTCAATGACTGGTAACGGGCTGCGCTTCTCTGCAGGCAGTTTATTGAAACAGGATTTGTGCGCCTCCCCACCCCTCTGGGCTGGATCGCAGAGCACTCAGAAGCGCAGGTGATGCTTCCCGCTGAACCACCCCAGGCTGTCTCTAGGAGCAGGGAGGAAAGAGCACATCAGAGAGCACTGGGAGCAACCAAGGGATGCCTGATGAGGATGAGCAGACAAGACCATCCCACGGCTAAGGAGAGGAAGCTCGGAAGAGGGGAGGGCTGGAAGGGGGAGCTTCCTGCTTGGGGGATTAACATCACCCTCAGATTGCCTGACTCCTGAGAGAAGCCTGTCTGTCTTCAAAAAGCCAGGGTTCCGTGTACAGTGGGCATCTGGCAGAAGAAGAGTGAATCTGGGCAGACTACATTTAAAATGATCCGGATGAAAAATTGGCCAGAGGGGACCCTGGGAAACAGTTAAGTGACAAAGAACAGGAATGGGCACTGGGCCACCCATAATCGACGTGAAAGGGATCAGAGTCGGCCCATCATCTCAAGACAACTCTCCTTGTGAAATGAAATGGCCCCCCAGACAAGCACAGCCCAGGATGGAGACATTGGCAAAACCACAGATTGAAAGCCTCTGCCAGGAGAACGTGTTCTGATGTAGAGTCCTCAAGGAGAATTCTAGACAAGAGATTCAGAACAAATGGTCACTCGACAAGAAGAGTCGGGTCAAAGTCAGGAAGTGTCAGATACGTACATGAGATGCCTCTCTTAGGGATAAGAGGAAAACGTAGCTGCTAAGGGTTTCCAAATGAATCCTCGGTTGTTTTACAGTTTTAGAATTTCTAAAAGGAAATGTCTTCCCATGTCGTCCAGATATCAGCTCCGCTTGCTTTCCACAAAGGCACGGCTGTCTAATTCAAGGGACTCCGGCTATTCTTGTGAGGATGAAGCTCCTATTTGGATCGGAAAGGAACACCAGGGGACCGCACGACACTTATACCCATGGTGCCTGGCCTTCTGCCGCGCCTTGATTTTGCTCTTCATCTCTCCCAACTTCCTGAGTTCAGGGCAGATGGGTCCTTCTGTCCTCCCTGTTCCCAGCCCCTTGGTAACTCACGCCCATCTGTTGCCATTGCTTTTTGGTCTTTCTCGAAAATGTTGGTCCCCCATAGTCTCATTTGCTTAATCAAAGAACAGAAGCAACAAAGATCACAGGGATATGAATCCAGGAGATCAAGAACAGCGTTGAAAGGGAAATAGAAAATGCGAGTGCATTTAAGCAGCCCTTTTCTGGTCTACAGTTTATTGACTAAAATAAGTCACGCATGTCGGACTGCATGAATGAAAACTTATTTTCCAAACAATAGCTCCTCCAAGGCCACTGTTTTGTAAATAGTGACAACAGAAAAACATTTTTGCTAGATTCTAAGAAAAGAATTTGCTAATTATACAAACTCCCACTGCTTTTACATCTCTTTTCCCAATAAGCACTTAACACTGACTCAAAAATGCTTCCCCTCTCCTCCCTTCCCAGTTCAGCAGATGGAGTGTTTGGGAGTGTCAACTTTAGATGGAGTACAAAGGGACAAATGGGCGACAGGATGCCGTTGGAGAGGACCCATCCTCGGAGCGTATGGACGATACCAAGAGTCTTCACAGAGACCAAATTCAAGGCCACAGCAGCTCTAGAGAAACCCTGTCCCATATTCGATTAACTCGAAGATTGCTTCCAAGACATTTTTTACTATAAGATAAAGAAGTATTAAATACATATTTTTTTAAAGAAAACCACACTCCTATTAGAGTCTGGATACAGTTCACTATACTTAATAAAAAATAATCTGTGTAATTCTTAACTCATACTCTAGGGGCTTGAAAAAATTCTGATATGGGAAAATAAACATGGATGGGGCATTCTGAATCCTTCTCTGTATTGTGCACTTCTTCCTTCATGTGCTCTATTCAAAAGATATTCAAACAGATATTGGTTAAAGATACTCAACACCAACTTGGAATGAATGTGCTTCCAATCAGTTTGGCAGTAGTGCCTTTTTTTTCATTCAATAAGCAGCAAGGCACGGCTAGACTTAACCTATGGTCAAGTCTTGACCATGGTCTACATGGACCTAAGACCTACTAGCACCTACTGTTTCTGTGTTGTCAAAATCAGCTACAATGAGACGCTTTCTGCAGAAAGATGCCCTTGCATCTGGTGATACCCCAAATGCAGGGACTGAGGGACAGGAAGTAATGCTTTTCAATGTCAGTATTGCCACACAAGGAAGTCAAAGATTTAAGTCACTTGCCTGCTTTAGTCTCATGGCAAGCGATGATGGTGTTTCGGGTCCACTGTGTTAAACTGGGAATTATGCTGAATGGCAGAAACACCCACTTAGCATGAATTTATAAGAATCTAATGTGTTGTCATCAAACAATTTTTCCCCCTGTTTATTTCATCAGCAATTTATTTTCAAATTTAGAATTTGGTAACTCTAATATGCTTCTTTCTGAGAAGAAAAATGAGATCTTTGTTGGTGATCGATGAGGCTTTCCCAAATTTAATTTATGGGTTGCACATCCCTGTGTTCATCACTGAAGGCCACCCTTGTTAGCTCTGATAACTCCTATTTCCTCTCTGGTCATCTGAAGCTAATTACAACCACTGCTTACCGCAGAAGGAATCAATAGCTTTCTACAGTAGATCACATAGAATCAGACCCATATGCAATTAGTCTAGTGTAGATACACAGAGATACCTTAATTAAAACAAAATATGCTCTGTAAGAGATAGGCTTTCATAGAGGACCGGAATTCCAAATGTTCCGACACATTTAACGTTCTTTATTCAAAGAAAGAGTCTTCATGAAACCTTTCGCTAATCAAATCTGTTTGATGAATTTTCCTTGGAAACATTTTGAACTGAAAAAACACGGAACTTAGTATTATACATTTATGTTTATTAACATTTGGATATAAATGTACTTCAAACACCAACAGAGCTAAAAGACTATGCCTTTATCTTGGATTGGATAGATTTCCCACCCCAGTGATTTGATTAATTCTTACAAGGCAAACATCAGCGGGCAAAGGGGATCAGTATGAACTGTGCACCTTGGGTCCTCCTCCAGCCCCTCTACTGATGTGTGGAGAAGTACTGCTCCCAGCACTCCAGTTGGTGGATACTCCTCTTATCTCTTCAATGTTGGAGAAGCCTGGCTCCTAGCGCTCGATCACTGTAGATTCTGAATGTCACCATCAACCAGACTTCAAAAGCGCACTTCAAGGTCTACTTGTTTAAGGATGGAGAATGATGGAAGGTGATGTGTGGAGAACAAGCCACACGCCTTGTTTCCAGAGACCTGTTCTGGTCCGTGTATCTTTTGCTGGCCAACTCATCTCTACACACCTACTGTTGTTCTTCTTGATCCACAAGCCTTTCTTTCCACACGGTCAGTCCCTGTCTGTCATGGAGGACGCATAACAAGACGTGAATTGATTCCTGATGACCTTCGGACTAAATCCCTCTAAACAGTGGCCAGGTCATCACCGCTGAGTACAACCCTTAGGAAAACAACTGCGTACCCTGGCATGGATCAGCTTCGGAAGAGAGGGTGGCATGTTCCTGTCCCCCAGTCTAGTCAAACCGGCCTGTGTCAAGTAACATGGAAGCTGAGGTCCTGGATTATGTCAACCGGCACGCATGCCGTCGGCCGCTGCAGGGCATTTACAAGGGGCCGCCAGTTTCCTCACAGGTATGCAAGCTTGTGTTTCGAGAAATGACAAAAGACAACACTTGGCTGCTCTGTTTCCTCCTGCCTGTCCACAGTTACGTGATGCAGAGCTTTCTGCTAAAGCACGAGGCTCCTCAGGGTCTGCTTCTGAAAAGCTGTCTTCGTGAAGTTAATATTGGAGCTAACACTATTTAGGAGAGGAAAACGAGCTCCATGTATTTTGTATTAAATCATCAGTAAAAAAATGAAGACAATATCATTACTTTCAAAATATAGAAAGCCAATAGTTGAAATCATTTAGTAGTAAAATTTTTTTCTACATATAACCTCATACATGTAAAGAGTATTAGAATGACATGTCAGCTATATTTGACTCTTGTTAGTGAAAGGGCTTCTCCCTCAGGTAAGGCTTAGGTCTTTCAGTGATCAAGGTACTGTGAAGTTTCACTCACACTCGCCCCTCTATTCTGACTAGAAGACAGACACTACATCTGGATGAGACAGGTGTCTTTTGTTTGGTAGGAGAGCGTAGAACTCTTCACAGTACACAAACAGTGTGGAAAATGCCAGTACATATAGAAAGGCGAACACTGGCGCAAGCTTGTTTGCACGAAGTCCATCAAGATCCTCTGGATGAGAATCTTTGCTTTGTGACAAAATAAGCTTGCACCCACCCGTGGGAGGCTAAAGTGATGTCATCAGAACCAAAGCCATTATAGGAGATACGGAAGATTTTTTAGAAATACTAAGTCCTTCTCTTGCTAGGAAAGGCCAGAATTAAATTGTTAAAATCATCCCCAATCATCATCATCACGGGCCCAGTTGGTTTTATAGCCAAATTGTTAAAATCATCCCCAATCGTCATCATCATGGGCCCAGTTGGTTTTATAGCCAAATTCACGCACTGCCCCTCGACAACACAGCAGGCCCAAAGCCTTTTCAGTATGGAATGTAGCACTGTATTGGGTAGCCCACAGAAGCCCTAAGGATCACAAGGAGATTTCTTAAAAACAAAAAACAAAAACAAAAACAAAAAAAAAAAGAAAAAAAAAAAAAAAGAAAAAAAAAAAAGAAGAAGAAGAAACAAAATATAAAGTTCCAGTTGGATGAAACTGTTTTCTCAGTATCTCAACTGGGCTCCTAAAACTGGAATTTCAGATACACAAGAGGACAGGAAACAGATAGCTTGGTTTTTGTCTTTTTACATGTCCGTATTGTTGTTTAAATGCAGCTACGATGTTTCTGCCAAAGATGAAGATAATAAGGTGGACAGGGTGGTGATCACCAGAACCAGCAGGGGGCTCAGACAGCAGCTTAGAGGAGCAACCATTGATTTTGTGGTTATGTGGCTGGAAGGACCAGCGAGACCATTCTTTTCGTAATCACGCTGTAAGAGAGAATATTTTCATTGTCACCCACTGCATGTATTCCCCCTATCCCAGTATATTTTAGCCACACTCTTCCTCTCTCCCACCTACAACTCCCAACTAGCTGTAGCACTCACCCAAGCTGACCTAAGATAAGACCATGGAGACTTCAATTCCCTGACTTGTAGTTTTACAAAAAAGAATCATGAATCTGGTTGAGAACTGGATATAAAGACTTATAGAGTTTATGATAAACTGGCCAACGCTTGCTACTTGCTCCTCCACTATGGATTTTACTGAAATCCATTTGTGGGACAGCTTTGCGTCTTCCTTCACTCCTACCTTCTGGATCTCTCCGTAGCTAGGGGAACGTGGAATGCTTCTCCTGGTACTGACTGAGGAAGCTCCCTGTCCCTCCCCGTCCCGGAGGAAAGGCAGGAAAAATCATCTCAGAAAACTGGTACAGGCAAGTGTCAGTTCACATGGAGATGGGCCACAAATCGCACTGAGATAGGCAGGGCTGTCTACACATATTCTCTCCATTTGCCCTTTCAAACCCAGATTTTCTAGATGAAGGCGCCTGCCCCTCACATCATTGGGACAGCCCACACCAGAACCCTGGCTTTCGGACTCCCAGTTGGCACAGCTCTCCTTCCCTAAGATGGATGCCTCCATCCCCACCACAGCATCCACTCAGTCCCATAATGCTGCATCCCACCGCAATGACTGGCACGTGACAGCATCAATCATCTCCTCTGTACAATGGGAAGAGGAATGTGGCCTGCCCTAGCTACCTCTGGGGTGCTGCAGAGGTCAAAGGAACTGTAGACAGAGGACCTCTGGTAAGCAGTGAGAGTTTCTGAGTGTCTTCTCTGTGAGGGCTGATTCTACAAGACTATGGTCACACAACCTCCGGCATTGAAATAATTTTATTTGTGCTGATCCTCGGGATGAGGATCCTGGGTCCCATACGTAGTTGGAACTTTGTGCCCTGGGATCCAAAGACCTCACTTGGCTCAAAGGGCAGAGGGACATGGAGGGTGCCTTAGATCTTTTGCCTAGACTTGAAACCTCATTGTCCTTGAACCTTTCCATCTTCACCATGGACCTAGAAATGTTCTATGTCTAGAAATGCAGGGAGACCCAGAGAGAAACATAACTTACATCAGAAAGACAGAGGTGTGTACTGCCCGACATATTGGATTTCAGCTTCTGGGCCTGGGAAAGACAAACACATACACACATAAAATCACTCACATTTCATATGGAATAATGGTTACCGATGATCCACTAATCAGTTGTCTAGGGCAGGGCCACTGGTAGAAATACGTGAGCTACAATTATGAGCCCATATATAATCTTAAGTTTTCTAGTAACCACATAAGAGATAAAGGTAAAGATAATTATGATGACATATTTTATTTAACCCAATATATTTTCAACATGTAATCAATATAAAAAGCTATTAATGAGATACTTTACGTTTTTTTTTTTTTCATACTAAGTCTTCAAAATCTGGTGTGTTTGACATTGCACATCTTATTTCAGACCTGCCCCATTTCAAAGGCTCAGTAGCTACCTGTGGCTGGTGGCTAGCAGGGGCAGCACAAGACTAGGTTACTAAAAACAAAGTTTTGTTTTTGCTTTTGTTTTTTTAGAGGGTAGAGGGGAGGGGCTTGAGAGCATGGGCTAGGGACAGAGGCAGAGGGAGAAAGAGGATTTTAAGTGAGATCCATGCCCAGCACAGAACCCAACATGGCACTCGATCTCATGACCTTGAAATCATGACCTGAGCCAAAATCAAGAGTCAGACGCTTAACTGATGGAGCCAACCAGGCACCCCAAGACAAAGCTTTGAAGTCATTCACATTCAGAACTCATTTATACCTATGAATGTTCATTCTGGGGATGTGCCTTTGAGGTAAAAATGTCACAATAAAAATCGGCGTTTGTTAGTCATATAGAGATAGGTCTTCCCGAAGCTCGTTTGTTCATTTGTTTTATTTTTGCTTCAGTCAACAAGCACGGAGCTATTTTCCAGTGCTGGGCATCAGGTGATCAGAGCCAAAGGATGTAGTCACTGGGCTCATGGGGCTGACCTCTAGTTGAGTAAACCACTCATGGCTTGAGAGTGTGGGCACAGGGCAGGGACTCTAACAGACAGATCCCCCTGGGGGAGCTGTGCAGGGTGTTATGGGTCCTGACCCAGTAATGATAAAATTGCTTCCAGGGCAGTGGCAGGGGGCTGAGCTGTGAAGGCTGTGAGCTCCCCAACTCCTCACACCGGAACTAGTCCCCACTGAGCTTCTACCAGAGAACTGAGTTAAAGAAGAGTTTCCATCACTCAGACAATTACAGTAAGAACTGCTGACCCAATATCGCCCTTTTGTTTTGTAAAGGAAAACAGAGTGCAGTGAAGTTGAGTGACTTCTCCAAGGTCACATAGCAATTTACTGGTAGAGTCAGGATATAGACCAGGTCTCTAAAACTCTTGAGAGGAAAATGTGCTCTTTCCTCCATTACAGTTTTTCTCCCAGGCGATCTTGGCATGCTTGGTTCTTCATGCTCTACCTGCCCCCAAATCAACATGAAGAGCCCCCCGCCCTGCCCCATGAGCTCCTTCTCCCAAAACAGGAGTCTGTTGGCACCAAAGACAGATGTCTTTGGTGCCAACAGGATGATGCTGGTCAAGCATCACAGCTTAAGGAGTGTCTGGGCACCTGGCTCGGCGTGAACAGCGGTGGGCAGGCTGCCAGCTGCAGGAAGACTTCTGGAACTCATTGGAGACATGCTAGGCTGCTGCTGGCATGTTCACCCAAGGAGTAATTTATTGACCATAATGTTACTTGGGAGGCATCATAATCTTTACCTATATTTGCATATGCCAGCTGTGAATATGAAATAGAAACCTTTAAAAAGGCATCGAGAGTAAGACAATGTGAAGCATCCCCAGGCTGTTCAAAGGTCACAAAATGTTATGTGTAAGAGGATCAAAGGAGGAATGGGAAGAGGAGTCTCTTCCCAAAAGCCTCCTTTTAATCTATAGTAATAGCAAATCTGGTCCCTTGCATTGTTACCTGCAGAGAATAATGTACAGAACTTTACATGTTTTATTTCTGTTCAAGATTGGAATTGTGCCCAGATACCAAAATGGCCTTAAAACATCCCATTCTCTTTTTCCTTTGCTAGGCCATAATCTACAAAAAAGACATAAACCCTTGCTGTGGGCCTTTGCATAACTAAGAAGCTCACTAAAATGTGCAGAGAAAGCAGCCAGACTTCTAGTCTGAGAAACATTATGCCTTCAAGTTGTTTCTGTGCTTGTGATCACAGCTAAACTATGCCTCCGTGTTGTAAACCACAGGCCTCTGAGTTCTAAGGGCCGGGGAGGCCTCTTTCCTACTTTGTTCTGTATGATAGCACCGGTATGTAGTTTTTACTCACTAAGTACACAATCCGAGGATACTCACCAGCTATACTCAGTCACTTTAGGAATGTGCTGAATACTTGTTCAATACCCATCAATATTAAATAATTATAAATTATAAATCTACCAATTATCCATCTACCAATGGATAAGAAGTCTTCTGTCTTGATAGATTGTCTGGAGTGCACTCTAGATCTGCAGAGCTAGATTTCTGACCCTCACTGGTCACCGAGGGTTCACACTGCTTAGTGCTTTACAGACATGCAGGCTCTCGCCTTCCACCTGGAAAGAGCAGGGATTACTGCTCCATCACACAGGAAAATACATTTAAAACAGCTCCAGGTCTGGAATGTCTCTGAGCTCTTTCCCCCACAAGGCAGGCATCTTGGTATCTATCTACAGGAAATGGTCAACCCCAGGTCTTGTCTCCCTGTAGCCCCATCGGCTTCACTAAAACTAGAGGCAGCATCTCTAAGCTTGTCTTGCCTGGAGGACCATTCTTGTTGGCATAACTGGATAACCTGCAGAGAGTGAAGGTAATAATGTGCGCCGGGGTCCTACAGAGGCTCTGAGAAAATGCTTCCTATCCTGTTAAGCACCTTCCCAAACCACCAAAGCCCTTAGCACTCCAGAGGCTCAGCTTTGCATGCACACTGGCCTTTAAATGCCCTGCTTACACAGTGTGTTAACGCAGTGTCCCAATGTGAGGCATGGGTAGAAACTCCCAGCACCACGGAGGCAGAGTGGAAAGCCCTGGAATTCCACCTGAACTCTGCAGAGACCACAGTGAGGTCTGGCAGTCTGATGCGAAGGTGACAGGCAAATGTTACCAGTTATGGGAATAGCAGGTGGCTTCTGGGTAACAGAATCACAAGACTGGACAGACAGGAGATTTCCCCCCAGCAAACCTGCAGTGCGTATAAGACGAGAACCGTGGGTCTGCTGCTGAGACTGGCTAGCACCAGGTACAGGAGGAGCGCGGCCGCACTGGGCATCTAGGGCCTCTACGGGTTTGTCAGCTGCACACGGAGGGGCAGAGCCTGGGATTTTAGGTCGCATGCTTGTGAGTCCTGTATGCAGTCAGAATCCCTTCGGTAACGCTGAGGGTCAGAAACGTCCTATGCAGATTCAGAGTCCACTAAGGAAATCTGGCTCTTAGAGCTCATCTTAGAAGCCTGAGCAACCTGTTATTTCCACATTTGGAGGGCTTTTATCCTGAGCATTTTCGGCCACATCATCAAGCTATGGCTGTCTTGCTAATCAGGTAGGATAAATGCAAACAGAATTACAAGGGGGCCCCGCCTTTGACTACTGCGAAGTGTACTTACACGCTTGAAACATCATCTCACAGGTGATAAAAATGGGGATGGTCCCAGGAAAGTTAAAAAAAAAATAGTTAAAAAACTTCTGAGACCTTGTAAGAAACTAGAAGTGTACTTCTTACTGCTGAGCTCTCACCCCAGAAAACAAAGCGTGGAGTAATGGGAGAGCCAACTCAAGGTCCTGTCTGTGGGCCCAGCAGTCCTGCTCATTAACGGGAGTCACAGGGACCCGGCACAGAGCGTGGCCAGCCCGGATCTATGTAGACACCAAACCTTACAGTGTGACTTTAAAATATGACCTTTCCTAAAAAAAAAAAATAAATAAAAGAGAGAGAGAGAGAGAGAAGGATAAAGAAGACAGTGCATTTCATTTTCCAAAAGTCCATTTTAACCATTAGTATGATGTGTTGAAAAATGAATCCTTTAATCTCTTTGAGGAAAGAGTGTTTTCTAGCGGCTAATTCATAGTCCTGTGGTTACTGGGGAAACTACCTGACTCTGAATGGAGGGGAAATGTCACCAGCAAACCACGGGACCACAAGGCTTTCAACTCGAGGATGGGGAGATGAAAGGGACTGGTGAAGCCCGTTTCCAGCCGAGCAGCCTTGCTGTCATTTTGGAAAACTGGAGAACTTGTATTCAGGCACCTCCTAAGACTTGTCCCGCCAGCAGTGTTGTAAAACTGTCCCTGGCGGTGATCTGCTAGTCCAGGCACGTCGGGTAATAGAATTTCCACCGCATTATAATTGTAGGGCCAGACCTTGCCAGTCCCTGGCACCAGAGGGTTAATAAATGCATTAGATGCTGTTAACCTCTGTTACCTGGAGTCAGACTGATGACGCTCCTGCTTTTTACCCCAATGATTAGCATTTGGAAAGTCAGCCCTGGTGCCAGGAGGCTTCCTGTTCAGAAGGCACAGACACACCCCTCGCCTGGAGGCCTCCATCCAGTGCCCTCCACCTGCCCCAGGCCACCACACAGACACACGAGCCCTGTCCACAGCAGGCTCTCCTGGAGCCTCAGGGACAAGGCAGGCTTTGGCGCAGCACGCTTGCTCTGTTTATGGAATCAGAGGCTTAAAAGCGCAGCGAGGCAGAACCTGGCCTTTGCTGCCCCAGGACTCGGTTTCGGCAGAGAAATCGGGGCTTCATCTCGGGCTTTCACGCAGCAGTCAGCCAGCAGGACATGGAACATTTCTCCACTCTGTCTGCTCCAAGCGTAAGGGGAGCCCATTTCTGCTCTACCTCCAGAAAATAAAACCAGAGGAAGTTACCCAATCCAATAGCAACAGACTGTCCAAGCTGCAGCCAAATGGTCATAATTAATGATGCTTCTGGTTCTTTTCTCCCTTGCTTTACTGATTAGAAAGATTTGCTATATTAGGAACCTGCTTGCTTAATGACAGAATACAAGCGATAAACAGAGAAATACACAGACTGTAAAATGCAATCAACTTCGCTCTCCAGCAC